CTAGAGCCTCTCACCTGTCAAGCTTCAACGAATCCACATTCGCCAGGTAACCGGCTCGTTGACCGTACTCATCGCTCTGTGAACAGATGTGTGTGACGTGCTTCTTAGTGAAGCCTCCACAACTTTGCAGACCGAAGAGAACCTCACCTTCCCGAAATGACATTTCCCTAAGAGGCCTCGAGCAGATTGACAACGGTGGCTCCCTTCAGGCTATTAAAGACAGGGCTAACGACATCGGGATTACTAGCTGAATATCGCTGTCCTTCATAGGATGGGATTACACCTCTCTCAGTGGATTGCTTGGACTACGACTAAAATGACTGGAACAATTACGGGGTTTAATTTCCCTTATCTTTCGGTTGCACTTCGCCCAATGCCCTGGGTAGAATCCTGATGCCTATGGAAACTGCCCGTTCTCTAGAGTCCCTCGTCACTGATTTATACACATAGATCTCGTCAAACATGGTTTTCACCAAGTCAAGTTGATATTGTATTGCTTGCTATCCAGCAGGGCCACGAGGAGGCACACCATCGTCCGCAACTAGGATCCACGCATAATATCCAGTGAACTAAGCATAAACAGTTTTCCCGAACCAGCAACACAAAACCATCACAAGTTTAACGCACCATGTTGAGCCTCCTCATGGTGACGCTGTGTTACGTAATTATAGAATGGATCTATGCTGCAGAGGAGAAACATAGTTACTCTCGGTACACTATGTCATGAAATGATAGAAATTAAAGAATGTTTAGGACTGTAATTCAGTCCAACGGTTGAAGGACAAGGTTCCAGATCGTAGTCAACTGAATCCTGTGTGCGACTGAGTTTAATTACAGATGAGAAGTTCATTACTGGGAAGAAACAACTCCGAATTCTATGTTTGGTGTTAGTCTGTGGTGCGAACATCCTTTTAAACAATCATTTTCTGCTAAAGATAGCTTAAGCGAATGATGACATGAGCATTAAAAATACCAAAATATTTGAAGTACATTAGGCAATTCACCTGGGGATTCGCAGAAAGTATCAATATAACCCAATGATTTCATAAAAGTTCCATTTCTGTTGATTTAGACCTATCACACAGTTAAGGGAAAGTATTATTCCTGGATTTCGCTTAGGACACAATTTATAGTCACATCAGGATAACTACTTTGAGACATGATTCATATAGTTCTAATTTTCTCACCTCGTTTTCCATATAACTGGAACAGGTACTTAGTCATTCCTGTTGGATGTGTTTGGTGCTTATTCGTAAATAAAGAATCGGTCGTTAATCTGTCTCTCCATCCTAATATGCTATTTTTAAGGATTTTCACTCTGTCCCACCCAACTGTGGTAGTTTGCAGTTGCATTCATAGCTATGCCGGGCGTTTTCTGAATTTCTTACCTTAACAGGATCTACAAGTTTTGACCTAGACAGGTTGTAGTGTTTGAATAGATTGATTGACCCTAGTTGACTACTTTGATCCATGTATTTGTCCTTGCAATCTCAATATACCGATTGACATGGCTCTGGGATTAGTTAGAAATAAGCTCAATAATGAACTTACATTATGAACTAACAACAGAGCGTAACCCACTAGGCCACTGAGTAGTGACACCCACTTCTTCGGCGAACAGTATAGTTTTTATATTGTTGGTTGCATTTGTAGAAGTAGCTGCCGTGACTCGGTGGCCTAGTGGATGACGCTGTAGCGTTTAAAGCCATCGACTTTGCATTCGAGATCTGCTGGGGCAACACAGCTCACTCAGATGTCAGTACAACCGGCTGGCGAGTCCTAAGTAGAATGAACCGTGCTTCTTGGATTCCTCTTCTAGCCACTATCCATCATCACTGTTAGGTAATTTCGTTCAGAGTGAATGATAATTGCTCATCCTCATGAACTGTCGTTATACTCAACCGGCTATGTAATAGGATATGATTCAACCTAGTCTTTAGGCGTAAGATAATTTGTTGGTCATCAGAGTATATGGATTGCTTAGAATAGAGATTTTCTCCTCAAAATAAACTCAATAGTTCTGTATTTTTAAAAAGGCTGTTTGTGGTACTAAACACTTTAAAGGCATAGGAAATATGGAACGCATCTTGGAAGATATTTAAAAAACTAGGGTATTCGTGACAGTAAATTAAGGGAAGAGCATCAATGTTAGATAGTTAGAGGCAATTGATGGTGAACTGTACCCTCTAAATTTCATGATTGTTGCAGTATCGAAGAAATTGGCATTTCGTATGGGACTCGAACTCATGTCACTTAGTGCTCCCATTGACCTATCCGGATCGCGACTGACTTCTTGAAGTAGATTATTGCAAACTACTTCAGGCAGTCTAGTCTTAAGTGCTGACCAATCATTGCATGTAGTCCAGTTCTACAAGAGATCAGTCGCTAAGCGATTGGCTTGGTCGTAACGTCACTGACTACAATACCAGATGATGAAGATTTGGGAACATCAGTTCCACGTAGGTTGCAGATACACCTGCTGACAAGTACCAACAAGCATGGAACAGGTTGAGCAGCTCTTCTGTCGGATGCCTCACACCATCTAACATGAATCTAAGTGGGCGTGATACTGAGTCTCATAGCCTGGCGGCCACATTATAAAAACAGTGATAGATATCGGTCAGCACTTAGGACTAGACAGCATGATATAAGTCACTCTTCAGTAGCCAACCAATGAAAAGACCTTAACTCAACTCTAGACTGCGTAAATCAAAGTTAACTCAATTTAACAGGATTTTGCTCTGTATGCACCGTAATTTGCTTGTCCACTTATTTCTCTACAAGTCTGCGTAAACGTTTCTATTTCTACCTTTTATTACAAAAGTAGCCATATTGTCAAGAAATACTCTGAAAGCTTGACGGTTAAAAGTAAATATGCTTTATTTCATTGTATTGATCTCCATATTGAAAATTCTTTCTATCAGTGACCAGATGTCTTTTCTAAAGACGAATAATACATTATGGTATAGTAAAACTCTGTTATAACTTACGTAAATTTAAATTGTTACATTTTCCTGCCCAATAAATGACAATTCAACATTTTAAGAAAAAGCGTTTGTTTGTGTGTTTGCATTCATCCATTCATTTGAAAAAAAGAGTAGTTTCCATAATGACCAGTTATCATTAGTATATTGAAGCTAGTTTTATTCTTATTTATGAACAGGATAAAATGGAAGTAGAAAATAAGTACTCGTATCGTTTATCTCTCTAAAATAACCTGATTTTTTAATCCGATTGCCTTAAGTTTATTGCTTAATTCACAATCTATATTTCCTTCCTTATCTCTGTATTGTTGCACAGAAGGTAAACACTTTTTCTTCACATTCAAATGGATAAGATTAGTAAGTTATATAGAAGTGAATTTGGCAGATATTTAGATCAACTTCATCTTTCCGCCACGCAAATGGTGAATTTAAACACACACATGTAAGTACTACACCTAAGTTACTCACTTGACTTAATAATTCATTTTAAGAAATAAAAAAAGGTGAGAAACAAAATGAAGTTGGCGAAATTGTTTCAAAGTTTCTAAAACAAAAACTAAAGCAAAGTAAGGTGGTATCATTGAGATGAGAAAGGTTTTCTTTGTAAAATAAGCCACATATAAAAACAGCTTCAGAGCCAATTTTACACAGGGGGGGAAAATAAGGCTGAAATAATGTGAGGGAACAGGAAGTTGAGAAGCGTAGAAAACTGTTTTTGTGGGATTTTGTAAGTATGATATTCTCCAGTAAGACAGGAAGACGGAGAATACAAAAAAAAAAAGATTGTAAGATAAAGATACAAACAAATTTCAAGTTGATGGAATATCTGTAAATTCATGGAACTCTTATTTCATACTTATGAGATTTTTCAGTTAAAAAAGGACTGTTTTAATATTCTACAGTGGTATTGTGTTTCAAGAGGTATGTTTAGCATGTACTTAAGAAGCTCTTAAACTTGGCACTCCTTTTCACCACCTTTCTGTGCCCGCGATTCCGTCAACTTCTTTAGTGATAAGTTTAGAACATTCACATTTATGGGATTATTTTATTTGATTGCCACTAAGTGGAAGTATTTATGGGTAGTCCTTTTTGATGCCATTTTACCATATCATCTGTAGGTCTATTGCCCAACTAAAAACTTTTATTTCAAGTTAGTGTCATCAGGGACTGACATCATAAGGAGAAGCATAGGAAGAATAGCAGTTGCTTCGTCTACATATGGGACACTTCAGCAGTGCACATCCATGACCACACTATGGTCGAACTCAGGACCTTCAGCTTTTTTGGCAAGCACAGTGTCATTTAGCCACTGCGTCAGTATCCAATTATCCACAGTTTTTTCTCCTCTCATTTCAAGATATAGCATCACCTACATCCAGTACCGTCATAGAGTACCTAATATCCTGTCCCACTTGGTTTTCCCCGCTGGTCACGACTTCTTATTAGAACTCATCTCGGAGAAAGTCACTAATGAAGAGGGGTCTCATACTCGAACAAAACCACTCTCCAGTGCTCCGGTTGTTCATTGGTTGACTAACTGATGTCACTTCTTGGTGAATGCCAACCTGGAATCAATGAAGTCCCCACAAACCTCTAAATGAATAATAATTAATTTAGTAAGGAATAAGTCTGCAAGAGTATTCTTCATAAATTATTTCTGAAAGTTGTCTAGGTTTTAACACGTTGAAGTCCATTACTCAATAAGTGGCTATCTTGACTCAATACCCAAGTGGACAACACTTCGGCGTTTAAAGTGATGGGTGCTGGGTATGGGTCTAAATGAGAACACTATTAGTCTTTGGGGGGTAGGCGCCCCCAGCTGGAAATCCCCATAGACTCCACTGCCAGCCTCTATCTATCTTTATTTTTAAACAGTTATGAGTAACTGAGTTCAGAATAACAACGTAAATGAGAAGTACAACTTTAACAAAACATGAACACGTCATCTGAAAGTGAGAAGACTCAAAGATCAGGTAGGTAGGCAACATGAAATTAATTGAGTTTTGTCAAGCAAACATGAATTACAGTCAGTACATAAAGTCAATGAACTTTGGAATTATTGCAGGTAATAACTTCATATTACATACAAAAGGATCGGGTGCCAGTATATGTTGTTCAGAGACACCATTCAACATCAAACAGCAGTGTACTTCAGTATCGTGACACTTCGCTTATTGGTCATAATGCAAAAAATCTGATCATCGGACTTGGGCCAGTGCTAAGCACTGAGGAGTAGACAATATACATGGACTATTTCGCTGACAACCAACTGGTGTAGAGTGTCTAAGTCATCAACATTTTTGAGTTAAGCTGATAGCAGATCTGCTTATAGTGATAACAATTTAAAATAAATATCTGCTGGTCTTGTAAAATTACAAGGATTCCAAAATTGAAAATGTTTTAGAAATTCATGCAGTGACGTTTGAATAATGTGGAAAGATGGAATATAAGTGGCCTTGATATCAATTCTACTAGTTTTTTTCATTCAAGAAGTATTTAAAGATTTACGATGATCTGCACTCACCAATAAACAGCCTGAAATTGGTTGCAATACAATGATCGGTCAATGAATGAGATTCACTCCTACAGGGTTTCAGTCATGCCCAGAATACCTTAACACGAATATCGCTCGCTGGAATACTAAATGAAGTGGATTCTAACCTTACAGGGGATATCAAATCCTTTCAAGTTGCAGATACGTCTAGTTGCTGAGTGTCAAAAAGTATGGAACAAAGATCTAGCAGGGCTAGTATTGACTTTGCTGTTAGACGGTTAGTGGCAATCAGCAGGAAACCCTTCTCCACTTGCACTACATGCGTTTCGGCACTCATCAACAAGTCACATATGCAATCTCAAAGGAACGTCACGTATGAGATTTAAAACCACGGCACTTAATGCTTCAATCAGAAACATTTCCAATCAGCCAAGCAGACTTTGATACCCTGTAGACCGTTTTAGATACCTGAATTGGTCTTTGGCGAGTAACCCATTTCATGTTGTCTAGTCTTAAGTGCTGGCCAGTCAGTGCACGTAGTCCAGTCTTACAGGAAACTAGTTGAGGCCAAAATAGCTCACTAGAATGTCACTGACTGTTGCACTGAGTCACACAAGCTCTAGTTCCACGCAGCATATAAATCCTTCGAAATTGCAGATATACCCCACTGACCAATACCAACAGGTGCAAAACTTGAGTTGATGAGAATCCCCTACTGATTGTCTGCAACCATCTAAAACCGATTCAAGCTCACAGTAATGCTAAGTCTCCAAGCATGGTGAATACCCTACAAAATGAGTGATAGAATTTGGCCAGAACCTAGAATAAGACAGCATAAAATTGTTTATTCTCCAATGACCAGTCAATGTATTACTGTTCTTCTTTTCTAACTTTCCAGCAGTAAAATACTAGGCTAGGATCACATGCATACACAAATCTTCTCAGACGATGCTGTTGTACTGTCAGACCAAACATTATATTTATTTCGGTCGTGGTAGGATTAAACCTAGTAATCACTGGCCTTCCGGCTAGGTGCTCTACCGACTGAGCTATGAGAACCAGTTGTTGACCAAATTTTTATTTCACTTTAGTCATCAGTGGTTTTACTCGACTACCATGTGGATTCAAGACGCGTTACTGTCGCTTGACTATGCTCACACTGGCTACCCAATTTTTTATCCAAATCTACTTGAATTAGAGAGAGGGAGCATCATATTGATTATCATTTTGACTATCTGAAATAACCGTGGTTTGCAGACCTTTAGTGATATTGGGTGACAATTAAAGGTAGAATGAAAATTTAGGCCATGACACGACTCAATAATCACCTAGTAACAATACAAGTCTCCGAAACCACGGTTATCTCAGATAGTCAAAGGATAATTATATTGTGTTGTTTGCTTTGACCTACCTTCAGAACTTTTCTCAATACACACAACTCAAAATCCAAAATAATAAATTTGCACCATGCTGTTTAAATGCATCAGGAGTTATTTTTTTAAAAGATATACAATTCGAAAGGTGTGAGGTATTTTCGAAAAAAATGAGATGCCATCAACAACAAGAAATGTAGAAAAATTAATTTGTAGGCTTTTCATTGGTAAAAGGTGTTAACAACCCACTTAACTTTTTAAACGGTAGGAACAAAAATGTTTCATGCCAAGAATAAAATGAGCTCATTTGCTTCTTTTAATACTGAGAATTAATGGTCCAAATGACTGGGTGAGTTTTAACATACTTCAAAATTTCGCTTGATTTCTTTAAATCAGAAACTTGTACATTTATTTAAAAGGTTCAGTGTATGATGAGTTTTACTGAAAGATGATAATAAATATTTTGAAACTAAAGGTTATACATTAAGTCTGCGTTGAATCTATGACCTATAGCTATCTCAAATTAATCTTGGTTGAACACCTTGGCATAGACGGAGGTGGTAGAAATGCTCACAGACGGCCACGAGTCCAAAGCCTCTTACAACTTAGACGGGTCGGGGGAAGTTCTTGCAAAAGCAAGAGGGTGAAAATAAATGTCTGACACTCATCACCGAATTGACGGATATGAAAGTTTAAACTGGCGGGATTGATGAACTGTAATCCTCAAACAGTGGTGCAACTTAACGACATTATCCACAGTGAAACACTGTTGTATGTACCTTTTTTATGTAATAGCAGCCATGATAATGTTGCAGATGCAGCAAGCCAACTGTCTTGTATAAATCTTAAGTTCGGTCTTCTAAGATAACCTTGTGCTTTGATCTGAGTATCGTTTTAGTGCCGTAGCCCACATACAAACCATGAAACCCAAGCTACTCATGAACTTTGTAGGAACTGCACATAAACGCAGTTGTTTTAATTAACATCGATGGATGTAACTTTGACATAACGGTTCATATCCATAAACATTTATTTTCCGAGTGATATATACATCCAGACTTCAGAAAATTTCTAGGTGGGATGGTGCTTGGCATACAAACTACTTGCAGAATTCCATTCGGAGGTTTGTGAGGATTTACTGATTTCAAGGTTACATCCACCAAGGATCGACATCAGTTAGACAATCATTGAAAACCCAAGAACTGTGGACAGTTTTTTCGTCCTAGTATGAGACTTCTCATCTGTCAAGGCCCAAACCCAGGACATACAGGTTCCAAGGCGAACGCGCTAACCATTTACCCACCGTGTCTGAGATCAACAGTACGCAGTCCTTTACTTCTGTAAGTTAACGATATAGCATGACTATCCACCGAGATCTTCAGATGGCATCCACTTCATTTTCAACCGGCTGACTTAACTGGTCATGGCTTCTCATTGGAACTTTGAGATATCCATCTCGAAGCACGAGAAGCAATGATCAGTGGTGTCGACCAGTGGGAAGTGGAGCAGATGCCAAGTGGACACTTATGTGGATATTCATACTATATCATGGACTGACAGAAGTGGAAAACTGTGGACCGTTGAGATCCGTCTCAGTTGTTAAATAGTTAACGCGTTGGCCGTAAAACCTAAATGTTCTGAGTATTATCCACGGTGGTATCTTGGGTGCGTACTACTGAGGATTCTCATGTTAAGACGAAACAGTTGTCCAGTGCTTCCAGGTTTTTAATGGTTCTCCAACTGATATCAATCCGTGATGTATGCAACCTTGAAATACATCTCTTTACATCTGATTAGATGCTTAGTTATAAATTCGTATGTCAGACTGTTTTAAAGTTATCTAAATGTCATAAAGTATCATTGAGAGGCAAGGAAGAAAGTGCGCAAACAGTTCGCATATCATTAGTTGTTGGAAATAGTAGATCTGACTAGAAATGGACAGACTCTCACTTTTAAATGAAACATATATTTGTAAAATCTCAGTTAAATAGGAAACTGAATATCTGACGACTTAAGACCTCGTGGGGTCACTTGTTCAAAGAATAAAGCTTACACAAGTTGTCGCATGCTTAAATACTAAATGTCAAGCATCAGATCATGTTGTTCTTACATGATGAATAATACTATAGGAATAAGTGTCATTGTTGTCAGTTATTAGCCTATGAGCAGAAGATGAAGATGTGAATGTGATTGGGCGAGAAAATACTATGGATGACGAATTCGATTTGTTGGTGTGCGCATACTTTCGTCCAAACGACCTCGTTGCTGATGAAACCCAGCCCCGATAGAGAACACCCGTTTGGCATTTGGCAACTTGCGTCATCTGTGGCTTCGACTAGCCAGATATCTGACTATCTCTTAATGGTTAAGTACACTACGCTGCATTCCGTTTTGTTTTGTTATATAGCTGTGGCATATGGCATTTGAAAGTGTAAGACATGAAGCGACTACATGGTTTTGATCATATGTGTCTTCGTAGTACTGCTCGCGTTTGATGGAATCGCCGTGTGAGCAATGTTGAGATCAGGCGAAGAGTTCTAAACAAGAAGGGCAAGTCAGTCGATGAGGTTGTGAACATTCGTTGACTGAGATGGCTTGAACATGTACTGCCCAACCGCCGTCTCGAAATTGCATGCTAAGTGAAGTTGGATTAGGTTGGAAGAAATTTCAGGATTCTTGGTGATATGGCTGAAAATCGGTCACAGTGGCACAGATGTATTGACCCCTTGACATCTGCAAAAGCATGAATGTTTGCGCTGTTATCTTCAGACTGTTTATTCCCTCACACAACTTTGTCTACTTTTATATCAGTCTCCTTCTATCCATCTGTCCTCTATGTACTGTTGTGAAGTGTGAAAACTTCGACCGATGCACTTGTGTACAAGGTTCTACGTTGATTTTTCCAGTCAGTCAGTTACATACTTCAGTGATGACTAGTCTGTGTGACTTGTTATTTTAGATATACTGTCCAAGTTGTTTCGACAGTTAGTCCTTTCTTTATGGTGAGTGCATTAGAATTCAACATAGTGCAAAGTGCCTAAGTTGTCTGTCTTTGTTTATGGTTTGAAAAACCTTTTTCAATATATTCATCTTGATGACTAACAGTGGGAACCCTATTTCGGACTCGTGTGATAACTTTTACAGACTTTACTTGTTAAGAAGTGACTTCCACGTGGTCTCAAAACGTTAGAATTTATTTTTCTATGTCATTAGGATTTTCTAATTATATTTCAGCTACCCAATGCTCAACTTATTCAACTCTATCAGGCGAAATTATGATCTTGAAGCCTATGAAAAGACGCCTGCTGTTCAACTTTTATTAAGGGTACAATATAAACAGAGAGATAAGAATAATTAATTAATCCCTTTCATCACACAACAATCTTAGAAATAACATTGTAGCCCATTGGTTTAGGGAGTTAACTTTCAACCAGTGGGTCGCTGGTTTGAACACTGTTCCTTGGACCGAGGTTTGGGTAGGCAAGTTGTATCATTGTCTTCAGACAACAGGCATGACTCACTGCCTACTGCAATAGCATGCAGAAGGTTGCTGAGTGGATCTGAAACAATCTTAGAACTACAGTACGGACCTCTCTTACTATGTAAAGGCTTTTACTACTAATCAGTTGTCTGGGTTATTATAGCTGAACTTGGATTCGAAGCTGCAACTCAGAACTCAAGCTAGTAAACCACAAAGATGAACATTAGGCTAAAGCGGGTAACTGCCAGAAAGCAATAAAGTACCTTTAAAGTATACAAGGAATCTGTCAGAACTTATCTAAAACACTTATACAATGTAATGTAACTTTTATGCCGAGGAAACATTCCAAAGTGTATAACAAGCATATTCACTTAGTTAAATAACATTAACTATTTGCCATGAAAGTGATTTTCTTTAATCTTATCTTCTTACATAGTCACTTGCATAGAAATACAAACAAGCATAGGGGAAAACATGCTGAAATTCACATTCACCTCCTTTAATAATCTCGTTTTCCACATATGGTCTACATTCTCATGACTAGAAATCGCATTATAACACTTTTTACAATAAGTTAAAAACTCAGTTCACTTTTCCTTCGGTGTGATTAATTCCTTTTTCGTTAATGCTTTCACCAATTTAACGTCTTATCTCAAAGATGGACACTTGTAGATGAGAACAGGATGAAAAGGTGGGGTGTAAAAAAGAAGGTAGCAAGGGAATGCAGAAGATTAATAAGTGACTCCATAATACAGTAAAAAAATCTTCCACTGTACGATGGAAATTCTTTTAGTCGAAACAAGTTCTCTTTCTAGTCAAGTTAGAAGATAGAAAATCTACATGAAAAAAAACTATAAAACATCTGTTATCAACTATGCGCATTAGAGAATTAGTTTTCTCTTGCTTTTTTTTTTAACTAGACACGAGATATTTATAAAAGCTTCTCATCAGCGACTATCTGTTTCCATACTTGAAAAAATCCGTGTTTTAATGTTCTTTTTCACATTGTTACAATTAGACAAAATCATGACTTCTTTATTCTATCACTGATACTTGAAAGCACCAAAAGCATTGAAATATAACTGCAGTATTTTAAGGAGATAGCTTTTATCATTATCAAAATTAGGCGATTGAGATTTACCTGATACAAAGTAAACGAAATCTACACCACAGTAACTGATAGATTTCATCTTTTCACCTCATCATATCAAAAGAGTAATAGTTATTGGAAACCTGTGAGTACTGGGCAGCTTTTTCGTCCTAGTATAGGACTGCTCAGAAGTAGGCACCCAATACCACGCCAGGGGTCGAACTCAGGACTTTCAGGTCTCATGGCTAACCCAGGTAAAATACAGCTTATACAAGGAGTAACGGTCACACAAACCGTTTTCAGGTCACAATAGTCAAAAATAAAGGTGTTGAAAAGGAATCCATCCATACCTTAAATTGAAGAAACTGTATGTTAGACAGTACGCTGCCATATTTATGGAAAAGAAAAGGACTCACGTAGAGATCGGTATTCGCCTTTTCAGTGTTAACTTAGCACTTCTTCAGAAGGAAACAAAAACGTATCTTTTCAACGTTGGAAATTTAGATGTAAATTCATACATAATCTGATGTAAAAAGCTGCGATTCACTTGTACTGATATAGAAATAGATATTCACTAGACCAATTAATACACCATCGTTATTCTGAACAATTAATATAAAGTGCCCACAGAAATACCTTACTTATGTTAGTTAACATCGTACACCTTTTAGTGATAATCGAAAGTCATTTTTTGTAGGCATAAATTTAAAAGAGGATTTGGGGATAATTATTGGTCCCAAGGCTCAGTACCTCAGGGGGTTGTGGATGAACACTGCTGAAGAGTCCTGAACTAGAGGAAACAGGTGTCAAGCGCTCAGAAGTATTCACTGTCTCTCCAAATGATTTCATTTCTTATATTAATCACCCTAGTACATAGACACAAATATACGTTTTTGAATTTAATTATAAAGTCTGACTCTATGACTAATCCTTGTGTAGAAATGAAATTAATTGAGCAAAAGAAGTGTATCAACGAAGATTTCCGTCTTTAGCTGTTTTCAGAAGGTCTTTGAGTTCAGCTTCGCAAATGATGGAGGCATCTAGTATATTAGGTAATATTTGGATCCATCCGGATTACTGAGTACTTGTACTCAGTAATCTGTAATACAAATCTTTTCATTTTATTTTTCAATATTATTATCGACTACCAGACTGAAGTCGAGTTAATTATATCTACTCTTTGGCATTATATCAGTTCCCTCAGCAAACTCTGTGTAATCATATGTTGTATTTGCAATACAAGTTCCCCATTTAGCCACTAACCGATACTTTCAATTTGCACTTGTTACCTGTTGACTGGACCGAACTATTGGCTTTCTTTTTCTGCCGAAGATGACTTTCATGATTCAGTGAAGTGGTTGATGACGATCTAGTGTTTGAATTAACGAGTTTTAATCAGTTCAACTTCACATTATGAAATGCAAGTACACACATTTGACAAGTCCTAAGTAGGGCAAGCTTTTGTTTCGCATGCTGAGACACCGCTAACCTCGATGTGTGGTGCCAGAGAAGTCGGATCAGGTCAAAAGAAGGCTAGGTTTGCCAGAGCAAGACGCAGTATCAGTTCATGAAGTCTCCGACTGTTGATATGAGCCGTGTAAAGAGGTGTAGACTGCCTAGTTGGCTCCCCGAGAAGATGGTGGGCAGTGGTTGAGGACTGTTGGTGATATGGCTGAAAATCAGTTACAATGGTCCAGATGTATTCACTCCTTGACATCTTTCAAAGCTTGAATATTTCCACCAACTGTTGTCAAGTCAAGCTGCTTATTCTTTCTTCCACTTTGTTCCTTGTTCTTTGGATGCAACTGTAAAATGTGAAAGTTGAACCGATGCACTTGTGTGTGAGGTTCTCATTGATTATGTCTGACACATATTTTTGATTCCACAGGTAATTACCATAGACCCAACAGCATGACAAAGCCTCTTTAATTATCATCCATCGTTTAACACTTGGCATGTGCTTCAAATTTCTGCTAGTCCCACCCAACCTAATATCCTCTTCTACAGTGTCTGTTCTCATGAATTCCACTAACAACATTAATTTTAAACACCGGATGCCTTATAAACAGTTGGTCGTAGTGCAATAGACATGAATAATCAGATGGAACTCATTACCCCCGTCTGCTTACATCACAGTTTAACGGATATTCTATACTTTTCACTGTGTGATTTGTTCTTCTGAGATATACAAGTGTACATCGTATTTTTCGATTTCAAGAAGTTTGGCGTAAATCTGTTTATATTGATTACATAGCTGACGTTGAGACCTCCCAGTTCACTATCACCACCAACGTCAATACAGCAGCAGGCATTATTGCATAACGGTCCAAGTGGGCACATCTCATACCAGTACATCAAGCGAGAAAGCGCCCAGATCAAAGATGTAGTGTTCAAGAAGAAAGTAGTCAAACATGATTTGAGAGACTTCCGAGTAGAAAAGGATTTACATTTCAATAATAAACAAATGACTCGGTTTAGTAACATTCGTCAGAAATCGTGAAGTCAATCTGTTTAATTATTAGTATGAGCAACTATAATTTTTCTTTTGTATTGTTTATAGGTTATCGTCTGTTGAATATACCTTGTGGAGTTTGCGGAGATCGTTCTACAGGAAAACATTATGCAGTTTATAGTTGTGATGGTAGGTAAATATGCGTCACAACTAATCAATCATAATTACTTGTAAAAATATTATATTTACCGTCACACTTCAACTATGCATCCGTTTTATTGCCTCTGACAAATTTTTTAGTTAGAATTCGCTGCAGTGCACTTCACCAGAGTTTATGGACAACTTAATGCTCTAGCTTCTAGTCTTCCATAGCCTACTTGTTTGTGGATGCGGTTCTTTTCGGATGGTTTAATATCAGTGATGTTTTCAGTTGGATAGTTATGATGAATAGTGGCTAGTAGTAAAGTGCGCTTTCTCTTTTTAGGGGATCGTTAGGTGGGTGTGTCATCCTGTCAGCGGCAGATCATTTCGGTTTCTAGACAATCGATGACGGGAAACTGCTTGTAATAATACCAAATCATACCAGTTTTAAAGGAATGACAAATGTTAATCAGTAGCCTAGTGGTGGGTTTGAGCCCCAGTGTGAACCAAATCACTCACTAGATACACGCAGCTGATGAGTCCTGAGTAGGACGAAATGTAAGTGTGCAAAGCTTGATTGTTAACCACTGCCCATCACTGCTACTGAACTGTACATATAACTTGATGGATAACTTTGAGGACAACCAAAAAATGTTTACAGAAGCATTACTCAAGGTCATTCACTACGTCTGTTTGACGTGCTATTCACACCTCATAGACCAATAAATTATGGCGAAAACTACGTAGCTGATTAGGTGTGGGATTTGATGGAGTATATAATGTGGGTGAAATAGGTGAATGTCCGCTCCGGAGGCATAAATATATCCGAGAAGATGACCTAAACAGGACCGGGTAATTGACATTCATATTGTCCTGCCAACCCACAGATTCTCGGTATATATAGCCGAAATGCGAAGAAAGGATATTTTCAGTGGATGAAGGATAGATCTGAAAAATCTATCTACCAGTTATAGAAAAATCCGTGACATTATGTGCCACATATGCACATGCTTGGAAGTGGCATACGCTGTGGGTTACCCCCATCATGCTGTTGTACAGAAAAAGTACTTCGATGTTTAGACTGCACACAAACATGGCTGAAAATATGTACAGCCGTCATAGAAGTTGCCAAGATCTTTATTGGATCACGGAAGGATATTATGCAACCTCATATGGATGAGTGGCAGTACAGACGGTGGTATACTCTTAGAGATGACGAACCCACTGAAAATTGGGTATTTTTATTTCTCATGTAAAACAGATTTATAACTTCCGAATAAAGTACCATTTCTCTTAATTACGTTGTCTTCAACATATTTGATTCTGATTGGTCAGGGTATACTTGTAAGTGACTGGCCATCACTAGTTTAGTTCCACCCTTAGTACTTGAAAATTTATATTTGGTCCCCACCGTAGGCTTAATTTTTGTGTTGAGGTTGTTAAATGTTATCGGTGAATTGTTTTTACATTCAGCAGAACCACTGAGTAACTGTACTAACTGAAATCCATTCAAGATTAGTGAATGAATTGACTTCCCAAGTGCGATTGGAATAGCCCCTCAATCTTCATATGGTCTCAGTCACTGCTGTTATCACAGAAACTCTGTGTTCAAAAAGGTTTATAACCGCTTTTCTTTTCTACCTTCATATTCCTAATGTAAGAGCAACTGTAATCCCTATGTATAAAATACTGAAGAGTCTTACGAAATCCTTGCTTACGTAATCACTTTCTCGTGGACATAAAACTTTCTTCTGAATTTTTTTCTGATTCACCCATATCCGACAGCATGTTTTCAAAAAAAATCTGTCTATCAAACATAAAAAACAGTTTCTTCCTTTATCTTAAGTTGGGTATATGAATCCCTATTTAAAAGTACCAACCGATAAGTACCAACTTATTCTAATTACAGAATGATACGTATTTACAGATACTGAGTAGTAAATCATACGAAAGAAGACAAATGACTTCCCATACAACTCATCATCCATTCCACGTAAACCGTACACATGTACACTGATAAATTGATTGGTCACTGGAAAGCAACCAATCTCATGTCATCTAGTCCTGATCATTTACAGTGTGACCAGCAATCTAGGAAACTCATCATTGCGGTGCACTTTGTTGCATGTTAGTTGGTTGGAGGCAATCGGCAGGAAGCCCAGCTACACCTAGTTTTCTTGCTTGCCCGTACTCATCAGCAAAGCATATCAGCAGCCCTTAAGGAACTGAAATCCCCAGTTAGATCTATACCTGCGTCACCGAAAGATGTCACCACTCAGTCATTCCTGCCGAAATACACTACTGGTAGGACTGGACTCAGTACTCACGTTTACTGTAACATTCCTCGATATTCATTAATTGAAACAAGGAGTTCGGTTTTACCTGGCAGGCTAAATTCGTAAAAAGGATGCGCTTGTGTTGAGTTATGTGCGTTACAGGCACTCCCATATTTAAAAGTCATGAACTCCTCTGTACTTCTACTTATTTATCCCCAATCACTATACTCGTAAACGTTACCTGAGCTTTTAAGCTTTTTGCTGATACCTGGACTATCGGATTTTAAAGATATTTTAGGATCTTCATTCATTTTTGTGACATATGTCTGAATAAAAACACCAGTTGACTGAACGGAGCTGTGGTGAGTGACGAGTTTGATCACGGCCCCACTTATCGAGGTTTGAGAAGTCTTCATACAGTATATGAGGTTCATTGTCAACTGCAGAAAAAGCTCATGTTTGCTGACTGCATTTCGAAAATTGATTACATACCACGATAAGAAATATTTCAGTCTGTTTCTATAAGTATTACTGTCTCTGTTATTGTTATTATTTTCATCACTGGTAGGTTGTTCTGGTTTCTTCAAGAGAAGTATACATAAAAATCGGTCATATACGTGTAAAGCAAACGGAAATTTAAAAGGCCAATGCACAATTGATCGTAATCGTCGTAACCATTGCCGTGCCTGTCGGCTCAACAAGTGTTTTATGGCACAAATGAATGAAGAAAGTAAGTTTATGCATAAACAGATTTCTTGGATGTAATCTACCTACAAGAAAGGAAAATTGCTCTTCAGACATTCTTCTTTATTGTAATCTGTTTGGTAGCTAACTAATAAACCCATGACTCGCGTTTCGTCCTATTTAGGTTTCCCTAGCTAGGTGTACCTGCATCCCATTAAGTAATGTTGTTTCTGCTGAGACTCAAGAGCAGTACCTATCGCTTCAAACTCCAAAGAGTTATCTGATGGGGCAGTGGACAGCTTCTTGCACAACAGGTACCAGTAATTGTTTATTGATGCTTGTAGTTTCCCGTTGGTATTCTGGGTCAGATTGATCTATGCTTGATAGACGGCTGATGAATGTCAACTTCTGAAACATCTTCCATTAGAGGCTGAACAGTTTGCTGGTTTGTGCAGTTACTTCGTAAATGTTCACAGTTGACAAATGTTCTGACATGTTTCTGTTACTATTGAGTGACGGAGAGAAGCGAGGAACTGGCATAAGTTACTATTCTGTAGCTCATGGAAATTAATATTTATCCAGTTGTAGTATAAAACCACACTGTGAAAGGGCAATAAATGATTCCGTTTTGACTACTGTTGCCAACGTTTAACTTAAAACTCTATTCCCAATTCATAGTCGACAGTTCTCCGTTGTTAAACGGTGAAAAGATTCGCATATATATGAAGGACAAAAGTTTATTTAGTGAATTCAGACAGACACAATATCAACACAGGGCCTGAAGTTGCTGCACAACAGTCAATATTGCCAAAACCTTATCGGTACACCACGCAAGAATTTACACAGATGAAGCATAAAGAAGTCAAGAAGCAATGGGTCAAAAGTAGGAGTTCATGAAGGTAATGTGTGGATGCATCTGAGTCACCGATATCGATTCCCAGTTATACCAACCGGATTCTCCAGCCGCTGGTTTCACCTCTCATGCAGACCCCAACCAGGGAGTCTACCTTGCTGTAAAATACCCCAAACCAACAGTCAAAGACTTCAAGGACTGATGCCATCTTTTAGTCTACCTACCTCTGACTTTTTTCAATCCTTAACCTACCTTCAGCCAAAACTATGCGATGGGGTAGATGGTGACTAGGAATACGCAACACATGTCCCAGCCATGAAGGTTTACAACCTCATCATTATCTCTTAGATTCTACAAGACATTGGTGATGATACATTGACTATCCATATCAAAGTAATTCAGGTAGATTTGAACATGTGGTCATAATTTCACCAGTTGTGTTCAAATGCTACAGCTTGAGAATCATCATTGTTGATTGGACCAAATTAACTGGCCAGTATTGGCATATATGTCCCAATGTAAATGCCTTGGTATTTCCAGTATTTTCAGTTTTCACTTTGCTGATGGATAGTGGCTACCAGTTGAATCCAGGACGCGTCTTTTGTCGTATTTTGCACTCATAAGTTAGATGCATCTACACCTCAATGAGTGATGCTCTTCTCAATGAGACTCAAATTCAAAGCCGATCTCTTCAAACGCCAGAGTGCTATCCACTGGGCTACTGTGTCACCACAACTATTCCGTGAGCGATGGGAGAAGTATGGTGGCCTGGTAGGTGACATTCTGGCGTTTGTAGCTATAAGTCTTGGGTCACTCACTGGGAGGTCGATTCATCCAGCTGACAAGTCCCAAGTATGACGAAATGTGTATCCTGAAGTCCAGTGTTAGCCACTACCCACCATCGTAGTCAGCTGACGACGAACTTGACTCTATGAACCACGAATGAATCACCAAAAGATTGAAATTTTAAATTTTAAGTGGTTTGCAAATTGCACAGCCCATATTGACACATTACCCGTAGCTGAGTAGTTCTTCTACCGCCTAAATATGGCGTCAACTGAGTTTCCGTTGGAAACCATTCTTCAGATAAGATTACAAGGTGTGATCTCTGACACAAAAGTGTCATAAACCATCAAAATAAACTGATAATCATGCAGTTCTTAAGTCATGTTCTTCGACTTTTTTGAGGTAGAGTACTTTCGTATGAACCAGAGAAAAAAATGGGTCACGCTTATCAATATCCTTACCGAGAATTTCTGAACTCAATGAACATAAAATGTTGAATGATAAACTTTGACTACTGACTTTTTCAAGTAGGCGGCTTTTGTAAATCACTGATAAACTTAATTGTGAGAAACCCGAGCTGACTGCGAAGTACCTATTTAACGCAACCATCTATCTACAGTAAAACTGTCTACACATTTAGGTGTTTACATGCAATACTAACTTTATCCTACCAATGCTTGTCTGATGATATTTAAAATAAGGCATAAAAATGTGATACATAGTCTATTTCGTGGCTCACAATAGAATCCAGGACGCACGTTTTGTCCTACTTGGGATTCGTCAGCTGGATGTACCCCGACCCCACTGAGTGATTTTTCTCACACCGAAACTCGAAACCAGTTCTTATGGCTTCAAACATGAAAGCATTATCAAGTGGACCACTGATGTCGATAATTCGACCCTGTATATCAACGGGAAATTACAAGTGACTATAAACAGTATGATACTTATTTGATTGGTTGTACTGAATACAATTACCCTAGTAGGACAGAGTTTTATAACGTGGTTTAGCGGCAGTGAAACTTCCCTCATTCTAATTATTTCTGGTTTAAATTATCCTCACCTTGTTTTGATACCTTCTTAGGTGTTCAGCATGAACGTGGGCCACGAAAATCTACCAACGCAGGTAAAAAACATATTATATCAATGGGATCTAGTGATAAACGAATTGATGAATACCCCCTCAATCTATCTACCAACCAGAGAAACTCAAAAATGAGTAATAACAATAGTCGGAAAGTGCGGGAACGTTCCGAGAAGCAGAAAGGCTTCAGTTTTCAGTCAGAAAACTTTTTGACTAACTCACCAGTATGTACAACTGATCCTATTCCATATTCAATGGCGAAACAACTCAAATTGAACTCAATGAATCTCACTCAGTTTTTAAACATTACACAACAACAACTAGATTTTACGTTATTGACAGAAATGTTGGATAGATTTCACGAAGCACTGATAAACAAACAAAATATGATGACAACATTATCTTATGCATCATGTACGTCTACGTATGAGGACAATTCTTTGAATAAGGCTGAAGACTTAACAGTCACGTCAAATCGACTGATATATAATCATACAGGCATTCAACAACCGGGTTGTGGTGAATGCACGAGGGGTAGTAGTAGTTCAGTGAGTCAATGGACTGCAGACTATCTAACCTTATGGAATTCACATGAAGGTATGTTAAACTTTCGTGGTATTCAAATCAGTTAGTTTGACCTAAAGTTTATTTAACTAGGGGATCTCCTTTTAAACGACGTAATTCTACTGACTACTAATTGACCAGAGCCCTCTCAAAAATCGGTAATCACACAAAGCAACAGTTGATGATGAGTACCTGTGGCATTATTTGAAAAAATCCTGGCAATTGTATTTTGAGGCTAAAACAATAGGAAAATCAGATGTGTACAGCTCACAAATCAACCATATTTCAAGACTTTCAGAAAACGTGCTACATTGTCCAGCTCACTATAATAAACAGATTGTTCAGTTTCTCTGTCTTTATTAAGTCATTCTTAGTATTTGGAATAAAATGATAACTCGTTCTAAAACTCAGGACTAGACAGGGCCAAATAATCTGCTCTTCAGTCCTACAGGGGGTCATTCACGACCTGAATAAGTCAGCGGTAACATCGCTGACTGTACCCCTGAGGGACACAGGTTCAAATCTTACACAGGACATCAATTCCCTCCAAATTTCAGACACGCCCTGAAATGTAAAGGCATTTTCTTTTCGAAACAGGAATTCTAGTAAACAAATTGTCCACTCATATCTACCTGTAGGCAGAATGACTCAATACTGAAGTGTGATGTATATAGTCTCACATGGGAAGAAGTGTTTAGTCCTTCATAAGTATTAACTGAGCTCAATGACTATGGTAAATTCTCAAATCAACAGATTTTGATGACCAGCAAGAGCTAAACAGTATGACACTTCTTACTGTCTGGCAAAATATTCCTAGACTTTCTTCTGTAAAGCTTCAAATCTGCTATCAGATATCTACTAATAGCAGTTAACGGTAAGCAAGTATTCGCCACAGACAAGTATAAGCAAAGTATTCCAAGAGTTTTCTAAAACTCTTCGTTTTTGCTAAGTAACGTGCACGTTCCAGCACTAGGGAAGAAGTCACACCTATCGTGTGAAAACGGATGATACTTACTTGTCTTCACAGAATCATTGGCTGAATTGTTTTTACAAAAGTGATCCACTAGCTGAAACTAAAGTGTTTAAGACAGACAGATAGATAGAAAAACCAATATACGACCTCGCACACAAGCGCATTGGCTCGACTTCCCACAATTCATAGTAGTTCACAAAGAACAGCTGGATAGAAAAACACTGACATAAAAGTAGATAAAGTTGTGCGACAGAATAAATAATCCGAAGCTAAGGGTCAGTGCAAATACTCAGGCTTCAGAAGGTAAATTTTCAGCCATGTCACCATGAGTTCTAAACTGTTGATTCTTATCGTTTCGGGAACCCCAGCCAGGTAGTTTACCTCATATTCCACACGACTCAGGTCAACAGTCAGGAACTATGTGGACTCATGCCAAGTCTTAGTTCGGTCACCCCGAACCGTCCTTCCGCCTAAAACAGCCCCCCTAATATTGCACGTTCAGGTAAGCAGTGGCTCGGTATGCGCAGTACTTGTCCAACCCATCTCAGTCGACTGAGAACACAACCTCACCAGTCGACTTGCCTGTCATGCTTAGTACCCTACGCCTGACGTCAACATTCCTCATACAGTGATTCCACCAAACGCAAGCAGTGCTACGAAGACACGAAGATGAGTACCATGTAATCACTTGATTTCTTCTACTTCTAACAGCCATATCCCACAACTGCATAACAGGACAGAATGGATTGTAATGCAGTACACTTGTCTTCGATAAGTACCCGGATATCTCACCAGTCTGTACCACAGATGATGCAAGTTGGCAAGTGACAAACAGGCTTTCTGTATCCGAGCAGAGATTTCATCACCAAACGCTCCGTTTGAGGTGATGCAACTTCCCAAGTAAGTGGAGTGATCGGGACATTCCACCACTTCACTTGCTATCATTAAACTGGTAGTATTTGCAGGCCAGTCATGCAACATCATCTTATATTTGATAACTGCCAAACATACTCAGATTTCTACTCGAGTTCACGAGACATTGCATTTTGTCAGCGCCTTTACCTAGGAGAAGAGTACCGTCTGCATGCTCCAAGTCAACCATATGATCTCTAGCGAGTAGATCAATCCCTGTAAACCCAGAGTTACCTAGGGTTGTCCATTAATGTGTCTATGACGAAACTAAATAGAAACAGTTACTGTGGGCATTCCTGGTGGATACCACTAGTTGTCGTCAACTCTGATGACAACTCTCTATAATCACTTACACAGCTGCGTGAGTTTCAGTAGAGAGCTTTGATTAGCGTTATATGTTTACCCGGCACTTCCTTCACGGTCAAACAATACCACTACACTTGTCAACATAGGAAGCAGTCGAAATAATTTTCTGTCTCGAAATATATTTAGATGGTGTAATTAGAAGACGAAGTTTATCTGAACAAAGTGTGATGTATTTCCATCAGTACATTTTGAAAAACCTGATCACACATTCACTTATCACGTCAATTTATATGAAACCGAAGACTAGGAGACAGAACACTGTACTTTCAATTCATGAGAAAGAGTCACTTTTCCCGGATTTAGCTGTTCAGTTCTACACACGAAAATTTATCATTAGGATATTGATGCTTAGTTTGAAAATCCTTATGTTCAGTTGAATTCTCTTGTTTCCAAATCTTAAGATAATCAAATCCCGTTAAAGGCTAAATTAATCGATGTTGTGCATCAATTTCATACTTCAGAACTAAGAAAAAGAAGAATGTTAAGTTCTTAGCACTTGAAATCTTTGAAGAATCACGAAGTAGATCTGACATAAACACTCTTAAACCCGACAATGGATCAAACATCGCTGTGATGAATAGATATGATTATAAAAATAAAGTGTAACCCGTTCTCAGCTATGACAGCAAATTCATGGCTGATGTCCCAACAGATATTTGAAAATTGGACGTGAAAGTAACTGCAAATTTAGTAAAACTTTTGATTATGAATGCGATTAGTAAAGAGAAATTCACTTCATTGAAACCTATGCAATCTAAATTTCTGAACTCATATGGATTATCTAAGATTCATACAACTGATAATCTCTTACATCCTATATCGTCCATGTGTTTTTCCCCCACTATAAACTGGTGAAATGATTGGCGAAAATGTTAAATCCAGTTCAGAAAGAATTCTATAGGTTTTCATTGAAAGATACTTTTCAACTTTTTGATTGTCATAGTAACCCGAATTTAGAAAACAAGATAGTGTAGTATTTTGATGCAGATTTTTTATTCAGTTGCATGCACACGTCCAAGACTATTAACCTTCTCTGTGACTACAAATCCTCAAGCAATCTCCCAATCCCTATCTGTTCCAACTTACTTGAAAGTAAGAAAATTGCTTTTTTCATGAAGTGAAAATGAAACATAGGAGATATTTGTCCTGTCATTCTTCACTTTCACACAAACTGACTTGACAAGTAAATGTGTGATCAGATTGTTCAAAATGTAACAGCGCAACTATATCACACATTGTACAGAGAAACTTCTAAATTTACAACAAGAACTATTTCAAATTCGACACATGTACTCGAAATGGATTATAAATCAAAAGTGCCTGAGCTGATAATGCACACTGCAGTCTGCTAGATCAATAAGGTGACGGTTTTCAAATCGTCATCTAGTGAAACAACCTACACCCAACCTACAAACGTTCAATAATGTTTGATCAACTAGACATACCTGAAAATTCTGCAGCTCAGTCTACTTATAAGCCCTAAGTAACTTGTCTTTCATGTGGGATGATAACAATGATTAGAAGAAATTCGGGAAAATTAGAACAAGTATCCAATTGCATTTTACGCTGTTTATTAGAAATGTCACAAAAAGAAACAGTATCATTTACTGCAGAACGTAACGGACATAATTTATTGTCATTATTCATATCATGTAACTCCATAACTTTGAGACATAGTTTATTTAGTCCTAATTTTCTCTCCTTCTCTGTGATGACAAGGGTAGTAGAATTTCCCATACATCTGTGACAGGTGCAGAATCACACTGATGATTAAGTACCAACATCTTGAGAATGCAAAACAAATCTCTTCATCAGTGGCGTCACAGTTTTCAGTTGAATAAATTTAAGATATTGAATTTGCCTACTTGAAAGTAACTCAAAACGTTTACCATCAATTCAATATTTTTATATGTGCTGTATTTCAGCTTTACGAACAATGACCAATCAAGCCTTATCCGCTGATAAGTGTTACAACTCACTGAATAATTGCACATTTGAAACAAAAAGCCTAGCTTGTAATTCCCAGGAATACTCCAATAGCTACATGGATGCACTGATCAAGTGTGGCATCCAGAGAAGTCCAAAAAATATTCTAAACCAAGAGTACTTTGGAAGACTGAATGAATGGAGAAGAACAGAAACCGGTGTAAGAATTATGCTGAATATGATCAACTGGATGGTGAATAATTCCTTATTTCAAGCGTATATTCAAACCAACAAGGTAAATTCTTTAGAATAAACTCGGAAAACTAACCAAACATTTATGTCATTATTTTCTATAACATTGTGATTTCCCGCCGTTGGTTGGACCGAATTGCTCCCTCTCTGTTGGTTTATGGGTTACTGTCGTCGCATAAGGTGTGATTATCGCCACTCAGTGGATGACGCCCTGATGTTTGAAACGATTGGTTTCGATTTTGTTTTTCAGTGTGAACAACATGACTAGCTGCGAGGCAGCTGCATGCAGCTGAAGAGTCCCAAGTAAGACGAATCCACTGCTAACTACTATGCATCAACACTCAATACATAATTAACCTGTTAGTTACCATATCAGATATTAAGAATCATCTTTAAACAGCCTTCAACTTGCACTTATTATGGAATGCAAGAATTTACAAATCGACATTCCCATTCTTCAATACTTTATTTTAAAAAGAATAACGAGAATGATGACAGCAGTGGTTCTGTTTGTTTCTTCTTAGGTGAATTTCTACGAAAATCTGTGCAGTCACATGTCTAGAGTGATCACTTGTGTAACTTGGTTACATTCATTCCAGCTTCATACAATTTCAATGGTTTATGTCATTGAAATCCATCTTGCAAAGAAACTCATTGTGCACTCTTTGGCCACTGGAGAGCAAACAACTTCATACTGTCTAGTCCCAACTTCTGGATGAGTTCTATCAAGAGTTAGCATTCGGTACCCTTTCACTCAAATAGATAGGTTTCCGCAATTCCTGTGCTATTATATAACCTGACGGTTTCCGCTACAAAATGTTTTCAATTTGGCATCTTGTAACCTTGAGTGAATTATTATCATTATTTGTCCCTTGAGTTCCTAGTGAAATACAGGGCTTCAGTAGCACGTCGCCATTTCACTCTGTTCTCTACAGTCTTTTTGACCTGACTCCACGACTGCCCATACGCCTTCATTTCTTTCTCAAACGATCTCCATGTCATCCTCGGCTAGGACGCCCCACTCGTCGTGTCCCGTTTGGATTCCACTCGAAGGCCTAACCTGGTCTGGCCTGGTGCGTGATGTTCCCCCAATTGGTCTTCTCAGTGTATGCACAATCCATCTCCACTTTCTTCTGCATATTTGTTGGACGATGGGTTCTTGGTTGGTAGGTTGCCACTCCAGAGTTCCTTGTTCTTTATTGCTCATTCTTATTATTCTGGCCTTCTGATCTGATCTTCAGTATCGAGTGAGCGTAGGCGCCCACTGTTGATGAATGTCTTCAGTTTGTTGGGAATGCTTTCCGTGACACGCCAAGTCTCTCAACCATCACACACAAGCACTGACTTACTTGAATGAATTAATGTTGAAAATCTGGATCTCGCTCTTTATGCTGAGTGGAGTGCAGTGCAGTGCAGTAGATCACCACACTGATTATTTCAGGTTAATGAAGGCCTGTCTTGCTGTCTCTCCGATCCTGGTTTTGACATCCTCATCTGTGTGTGTGCCGCCTGTAGTTGAGACGATGCTGCCTAGGTAGGTAGGTGAAAGAGAAAACTTCCTTAATGTTTCTCCCGTTGATGGTGATTGGTGTTTGGTGTTGACGCTGTTGTTGGTTGGTTGGTTGGCTGGGTATCTTCATCACCTCTGTCTTCTCTACATTCACTTGAAGTCCGGTTCTCGCTGCCGTGCCTCTTCTGTCAACTTGTTGTTTTTCACCTGTAGATCTTCGAGTTTGTGCGATATTAGACACAAATGATCATGGGCGAAATCCAAATCTTCTGGTGTCTTTTCATCTGTAAGACAGGGTATGCCAATCTCCACGTTCCTCACAGTTATCTGTCGCATGATCCAGTCGAGTCGTGTCGACCACAGTCAGGAAGATTATGAGTGAAAGTAGGCAGTCCTGCCTGTCTTCACTTCAAAGGCGTCACTGTGCTTTCCATTGTGAATCACTCTGCATGTAGCGTCGTCATATAGCTTTTGAATGAGACTGATAATGGTTCGTGTTACTCCGTAGTGTTGAAGTAGCTGCCTGCCAAATACTTGTCAGTCGAGGTTGCCGAAGGCCTTTTCAAAGTTGATGAAGTTGTGGTAGAGAGTTGACTGCCATTCTTTACTCTGTTCAATGATGATGAGTAGTGTAGCGTTGGAATTTGATCCACACATGATTTGTTCTTCCTGAATCCAGCTAGCCTTTTCCGGTTGTAATTTTGAATCCAACGCATTGTTTAGTCTCTCCAGGATGATACGGCATAATATTTTGCTTGGTTTGGACAGGAGCATGATTCCGCGCCATTTTTTGCAGACTTAGGTTTTTCTTCTTTGGGAGTTTGACAAGGTAGTCCTTCTTCCAATCGGCAGGTGAGTGAATTATCCTGTCGCTTATTTCTACTGATAAACTCATTCTTGTGAAAGTCAGGTGAAGAGTACTAGATAAGACAGCCAAGTCGGTTGATGGGGTTGTGAACCTTCATAGATTGAGATGGCTCAGAAACTTTTCTCGCCTGCTGAACCACCGCCTACCTAGACATCTCATGCTATGAGAAGTAGAATTTGATTGGAAGAGGGTCCATGGTGCCCAGATCAAGACGTGGCACCACTCTAATAAGTCCCTCGCCATTGATATGAGATGTACAGGGATGTGTAGACCATCTGATTAGGGTCCGCGAGACGACAGAAATCAGTGGTTGAGGACTCTTTTTGATATGGCTGAAAACTGGTCATAACGGTGCAGATGTATTCACTCCTCGACGTTTTCTAAAACTTCAGTATTTTCACTGAACTTGATTTTGAAATTCCTTATCCTTTCACACACCTATGTCTACTTTTATATCAGTCTTATTTATCTACTTATTGTTTGCATACTGTTGTGAAGTGTGATAACTTGAACCGATGCACTTGTTGGAGAAGGTCTATGCTTATTTTCTGTCTCAGTGCGAAAGTAAATATTATGAGTCTATAACTGAAAGCTCTCCAAATTGGATCAATCAGTCAGTTAACATAAAAAGAAGACCCGACACTACTGCGTAATAATCCGAGTTCCTAGACACATTTCAACCCAGAAGGCATACAGTTGGAACATACAGAAATGAAGAAAAAATCAATTAAAAGTGGAAGAAATTCATGAAAGAGAAATGTAAAGGAATATAACAACAACCAGATTCACTGTCATGATTAAGAAGGTTGGATAAACCTACACCACTGAGACTGATTCCGAAGCATATCACCAGGAGTCTCCAACCACTGGTTCCTACTGCCATTCAGACCCCAGCCGGAAGGTCTGCACTCCCCTACACGCCCCAGACTAACAGTCAGTGGCCTTACGGACTGATAGCATGCTTTAGTCTGCCAGCCTCCAACCTTTTTGTAGCCTGGACCTGCCTCAGATAACACAGCGACAAGACAGACGGTGACTAGGGATACGTAACACACGTCTCAGCCACCTGAATTAAAGGTTTGAAAGCTCATCAACTAACGCATCTCTTCTGAGGAAAACTCTACGCCTGGCTTCTGTAATACTGACTTAGTGACAGCACGACACACGATTTATGCTACAAGCCCAACGGTGGTCGAACACCTGAACCCTTCTTGCGTCCCCTACTTTCAATGGGTATGTTTCGCAGCCATATGATAAAACAAAGAAAACTGTTGCGCAGTATATTCAGCCCTTGATAGGCAGTCAGATATCACGGTGACGCCGTAAACAGTATAAGAAGATGAAAACCAAGCCCCCCTTGGTCAATGAACTAGCACGACTGATCCGAATTCCCAAGTAAGCGAAGTGGTCAACGCCCTCAACCAATTCACAATCTATTCTTTAATGAGACACCAGGGAAAATCAGTCCTGTGCAACAGTGTGCAAAAAAGCAGTAAGAAACGTATGCTTAACATCCTCATATGGCCTGTCTGGAAAAGGCTTGATTTATTTTATCCTATGGACATTTTCTCCACTAGCTGTGATACGGAAAAAATTATTATAAACTGTTCTTTGTTGATTGCATGTAAATCAGCATTTATTAACAACTTGAATATGCTACTAGGAACGTGAGCATGGTTGACACTTCCTGACTGACTGCCCACACCGTGGAAGGCCATTTCTTCTCAAAGTATCTGAAAGGGAAAAGATTTCTGTGACAACAGAGTTCATTGAACATCTGCTTGAGGCCTATCACACACTGCCTTTCGAGAATTGTTTGTATGAGATTTGATTGTTCTAACGCCGGACAGAGGAAATCCATACCGTCTGCAACCAGAAGACCGTGAAGCAGGGAGGAGTGTAATACTTTAAGAGCCGATCTTTTCTAACTCCTCCCTTCCCATTGGGAAGGCATCATTAGAGTGGCGCTGGTGGTCATGCAAGGGAGACACCTTACTGTTGTTACACATCATCCAGCTAGCAGCAGTACGATTCTGCCATCAGGTTCTCATCACAGAGTAGCAGTTTACCACTGTGTAAAAGATATTTGTGACATGGTAGAAGCAACTCGAGATAACAAGCATTCCAGAGAGTGTAGCTCGTTGGGTCATTCTGATATGTGAGCGTGACCGCTACATCAAGGTAGCAGCTATCGGTCAGATTGTTCGTAGCTAAATGAATTCTGTGAGAATTCAGTGCTGAGGACGTCACGAAGCCTGGTGACGAGACGTCTACGATAAAGTACCTAAGTTTGAAGAATACCAAACCTTCGTCATGTGACTCATATTAGTCGACAACACAGAGTATGCGTAGTAAATAACTCTGAGAAACACAACCTGTCGAACAGTGATGAACAAATTCTTTTTGCTGTGCAAAGAAAACAAGACCCCTGGATGCAAATTACCCACTAGAAAAAAGTCCGTAATAGTTAAAGGTTTACGTTATTCAAGCTTTAAACCTAGATAAGTCGAATGTCCATTTTTTATGTGCAGTCGCTTGGCGAAACTGTGGAATAAAGTTGTTTTGTTGGTTATCCGATTTTGTTATCAACCCGTATTAAGTTATTTAGACACCTCTGTCCTGACTAAGACTTAAATGAACCAATGAAGTCAGTCCATTGGTTTCGGTTTGTTTAATGCCTACATGTTTTATACACTTCTTTCATGAGGTGACGATGGGTATAAGACTAAATTTGACTATCGTCCCTAGAAAAGATAATTAATCCAAAGATGGAAGGTCTCCTAATTACTTTATCCAAATTTATAAAACGGACTAATTGTTTCAAATGATTGGAAATAAATACAGTACGGTAATCTTAAGCAGTTTATCATAAACGAAAGTTTACTCCTATTTTTTAGCGCATCTGCGTTTGTCTACTTATGAGTAGCCAAACAAAATCTACAAAAATCCACTCATTTTTCTCTTTTGTAGATGGATTTGACGAACACTAATTGGATCTTCTTATTTTGTATACATGTTATGGAATATTTTCAAAATCAGTGCGATAATAAACATGATATTGAAAATCTTATCGCAAGAGATCACCTACTTTTGAATTCAGCAAATACTGATCATATGGCTCACCCAACAATAAGCTATGAGATCAATTATCGTGATTCACTTGATATATTCAATTCATTCGTTCAATATTTATTGGATTTTCACTTAGCCACGGAGGAGAGCGAATTCGTTAAATTTAAAATATTCAGCATGAGTAACTTCGGTAAGCGAAACCTCTTTCCAGTTCTTATTCGAGTGATTAATTCACCTTAGTGCAGGAGTGGAGCTACGACACATTAGTGCGGTTTTCAACCCAACTCCACCTACAGAAGTTTAGGCAGCCAGGTAGTATGATTAGCCCCTAACACAATAGGTATGGTTCACTGCTTACTGGAAAGACGTTTAGAGTGGATTTTAATTTTTCCTAGACTGATGCTAGGATGAAGGACTTTTCAGCAGCAGGATTCTCATGATAAACTCCAGGTTAACAGCCCAGTGCTCTACTGATCCAGCTGCTGATAACATCGTAATTTCCATTATCATTTCATCATAATCTTAATTTATCGACAGTGTAAATGAAGGTATGTGGAATTAAACAACTCAGCGCTGGGGTCACAACAGAATACATACACAAAGAAGGCGAAAATACTTAGATAAATAAAAATAGTGTACTGAACGGTAATGGAACAATCACGTAAACGTGAAATGTTCAAGACTTTGAGGAGTCCTGCTTCATTGCTCACAGTCGCCAACCACTAATTCCTAGCATCCTTCCTGATAATGTGGCTCTTTCATCCAACCACTTAACTGTCAGTGATTGAATCAAAGGGTAAAGTGCACCTCACCTACTAACAAGGGAGATCAAATGGTATTATATTGCCTCAAATACTAATGGTGGATGACAGACAGATCAACGTAGAACCTCGCACCCAAGTACATAGGTTCAACCTGTCCCATTTCACAGTAGTACACAAAGAACAAGAAGACAGAAACAGTGACACCAAAGTAGACAAAGGTGTATGGGAGAAAGGACAAAAGTAAGATTCAATAAAAATATTCAAGATCCGGATTTTCAACACTAATATCAAGTCAGTGGATCTATGTGGTGGTTCAGGAACTTGGCGCGTTACGAAAAGCATTCCCAACAAACTGAAGACATTCATCAACAGTGGGCGCCTACGCTCACTCGATACTGAAGATCAGATCAGAAGGCCAGAATAATAAGAATGAGCAATAAGAACAAGGAACTCTGGAGTGGCAACCTACCAACCAAGAACCCATCGTCCAACAAATATGCAGAAGAAAGTGGAGATGGATTGTGCATACACTGAGAAGACCAATTGGGGGAACATCACGCACCAGGCCAGACCAGGTTAGGCCTTCGAGTGGAATCCAAACGGGAAACGACGAGTGGGGCGTCCTAGCCGAGGATGACATGGAGATCGTTTGAGAAAGAAATGAAAGCGTATGGGCAGTCGTGGAGTCAGGTCAAAAAGACTGTAGAGAACAGAGTGAAATGGCGACGTGCTACTGAAGCCTGTGTTTCACTAGGAACTCAAGGGACAAATAATGATGTTAAAAATAAAAATATTCAAGCTTAAAAGGTGAGAAAGAGTCAGTACATCTGCACCACTGTCACCAATTTTAACCGTGATCAAGAGCCCTCAATCACCTACTCCTATCGTCTTCGAGACTTCAACCAGGCAGTCTACATCTTCCGACACGACTCGGACCAACATCCAAAATTAGAACGACTGGTGCCACGTATTGGTCTGACCACTCTGAGCCTCTCTTTTTAACCTAATCCAAGTCCACCTAGCATGGCAGGTCGAGGTATGCGGTGACTCGGCATGTGAAGTACATGGCCAACCTACCTTAGTTGACTAAAGTTCACAACCTCATCGATTGACTTGCCTAGTACATTTCACCTAACCTTTACATCGCTAACATGGTGATTCACCAGAAATGAGCATTACTACAAGGAGACATATGATCAAAACCATGTGATCCCTCATATCTTCTACTTTCAACAGCCATGTCTTGTAACTGTAAAACAGAAGAAATGGCAGAGCAGTATACTTGTCCTTTGACAGATTGTGTGATGTCTCGCTAGTCGGCGCCACAGATGAAGCAAGTCAGCATATGTAAAATGAACCTTTTATTTCCGAGTTGAGATTTCGTCGGCCTACTACGCAAGTCTGAATTGAATGGATCACTTTATTGTGTCTAAGATCAAGTGGGAACACAACTCTACGCTGTTCAAGTCAACAATAACTTCAGTACCTAACCATTCTTGACCAGTTTCCAACTAATACTATCTTGACGAAGTCACGACAAGGTAGGTAGTGACTCGATATGCATAACACATTCTCGACTAACATCTACTAATATGCACAGCAATGCTGAACCACCTAGCTTAATGGCCACATTGCAAATATGATCGGTAGGATTCGGTCTTTACTCAACATTAAATTAGTTGCACACCCGCGACCAATCGAAACATGTAACCCAGTTCTACAGGAGGTCAACCGCGATCAGAATAGCTCATGGTAAAGTCTTTGACTACAATACTGGGCGACGCAGTTCGAATCCCAAGCGGGGGTTGCATATAGGTCTTCCGACGAGTGCCAACCAGCACCAAACCTAGGTTTTGCAGCTTGCTTCCAAACACCTAAATCCACGACTCATTTTAGTGGATATGTTCAAAAGATACTGGATCATCAAGTTTCCTGTATACGACTCTGAGTTAAATTTAAACGTTCCATTGGATACGATAACCTCCACAAAAGCATCCAAAACTTAGAAATTTGATCATCTGGAGTAAACATTCATCATCTTGAATTTGTTTATTAATTGATTTATTACGCAATGCACAAACTCTTCATGAATCCTCATGATATGTTTTTCGCGAAAACATCTCAGACACAGAAATAGGACAGTAAACTCGTTATCTGGGAGGTGAGACTAGCACAAAATGCCAAACGAACCTCTTCTATCCATATCAAGATTACATCGACAACTGGTGCATGAAAACTGATGTAAATCCTCTCGAAATAAGCGAAGTAATCAAGGTACACAACCAATTCTTCCGTATAGACAGACACAGACAAAATCAGGGTAGGAATTCACACCAGTGCATCGCTTCAAGCCGCCACGCATCACAGTAACATACGAAGAGCGAGTGGATAGAAAAAGCGATATCAAAGTAGACAAAGGTGTACAGCAGAATAAGCAGTTTGAAGATAAAGGGGGTGCGGATACTCAAGCTTTAGAAGAAGTCAAGGAGTGAATACATCTGCGACACCACCTATTTTCAGGCATGTCACCAAGAGTCCTCAACAACTGATTCCTATTGTCTCGGGGACCCCATCTATTCATGACTTAGACCAACAGTCAGAGACTTCATGGAGTGGTGCCACTTCTCAATCTGGTAATTATTCTGCAGATATGAAGTAGACGGATGAATGGAATTGTCCTGAGTTACCATATTACATCTGATCGTTAAGAAGTATGTGCCAAATATTCACAAGCTTTTGTCGAACATAATCACTAGTCTCTGCAATAACTCATCAATACCTAACTCAAGAATGCTCTTTAGGTCAATCAATGAATCTTTGTGAATTAACACATTCATAAAAGTTAAAAAAGTCCATGTAATGAAGATTAGTCGAAAAACTACACTCGTGGTGGACACAATTGACACTTCTTTGTTAATAATCAGGCCTGCCTTATATAACCTAGAAATGAGTTAAAAGATAAACGAACTACTAAACGTATCCATCTTTCTAGGTTGATAGTCATCACTGGAAACCTGTGAGCACTCGACAACTGTTTCATCCTAGCATAGGACTCCTCAGCAGTGCGCCTCCATGACTTCTTTAGAGGTCGAATCGAAGACCATCAGGTCCCGCGGACAGCACGTCACCATTAAACCATTAGCTCGGAACCCAATGATCCACGTTTCCCACTTCTTACAGTTAACAATATAGTGCAACCTCCATCTATTATTACCTTCTGGGCAATAGTAGTCACTTGTTTCAGTTGAACCAACAATGACAACAGAAACAATACCAAACGAATTTAGTAGACCTAAACGGTTCAATACGGGAGTAGAATTCGGACTGTTTGGTACAATGTATTTCTTCGATAGTTCGCTTCTCGAAAGCGCCTCAATGAAACATCATTTATCTACAGGATAAATAATTCATCCGCTCGTTAAGCTTATTCGATAAAGTATTAAAATATGCATATAAATAGTGCACATACTATCACTTCAAAAATACAACCTGTCACATGCCATGTAGCAATTTTTCTGTGCACTAAAAAGGTTTTTACTTGACTGTTTACATCAACACAAAGTCTAAAGTCCTTAAAAAATAACTTGAGTTTCGATAACACACTAGCTGAACATTGTCTACGCATCAGTCAGTCAATACATCTATATGAGATATTGCATAATTGCATAGCAACTCAAGTTAGCAAACCTCACATCAAGATACCAGGCGAGAGTTGAAAGTCATAGAAATGGCCGTGACAAAGCAAATAACGGAACGATGAAGAATGGATTTATCTGCGTTAGTTGGATCAATGTGACTGACAAAATCAACGTAGAACTCGCACATAAGTGGATCGGTTAAAGTTGCCACACTACACGGAAGTAGACAAGTGGATAGAAAACGAATGATATCAAAGTACATAAATTAGTGTGAGAGAATAAGCAATCTGAAGATAACAGTTAGTGAAAATATTCAAGCTTTAGAAGATATCATGGAGTGAATTCATCTGCGACATTGTCACCAATTCCCAGCAAACTAACAAAGTGTCCTCAACCACTGATTCCTTTCGTCTCAGGGACCTCAACCAGATAGTCTTCATCTCCTCGAATGGCTCAGCTCAACAGTCAGGGACTTCATCGACTGGTGCCATGTATTAATCTGGCTACCCTCAACCCTCTTCCAACCTAATCCAACTTCAACTAGCATGGCACGTCAAGGTAGGCAGTGGCTCGGTATGCGCAGTACATATCCAAACCATCTCAGTCGACTAAGGTTCTTAACCTTATCAACCGACCTGCCTGCCTTGCCTAGTACCTTACGCCTGACCTCAACATTGATCCCGGGTAATAGCTGCTACCTTGATGTGGTGGTCACGCTCACATATCAGAATGACCCAACGAGCTACACTCTCTGGAATGCTTGTTATCTCGAGTTGCTTCTACCATGTCACAAATATCTTTTACACAGTGGTAAACTGCTACTCTGTGATGAGAACCT